TAGTAGTATATATATATATATATATATATATATATATATATATAAAGGAGAAACGGAAAAAAAATAAACTACGGGGGTCGTTTGGATACTTGGAAATATATTAGCTATGAAAGTCATCATATGTTACTGGCGTAGTACATTATCTACAAATGTATTGTTATTGTTTAGATAGTATCTAAATACAACCTAAGAAATACATTGTTACTGGTTGGGTAGTATCTAAATACAACCTACGAAATGCATTCTTACTATTTGGATAGTATCTAAATATATCCTGGGAATATTAGAATTTCTGTTTGCAACCTATTAGGGAAAATTAAGGGGGGTTTTATTTAGATGAGAGAGAGTAGCCAAGCATGTAAATCACAATTAGGCCAGCATTATGGAAATAGAAGAAATTTGAATCCAAGTCATAAGAGAGAGAGGGAGTGAGAGAGAATAGACGAGGTATGCAAATCGAAATTAGGGCAGCATTATAAAAAAAATTAAAATCCGAGTGATATAAAGTTAAAGAGATAGAAGAGTTGAGAAAGAGAGTGAAGCACAATAATACTCACATATTAATAAAATTTGTTACGAACATAGAGAGAGAGAGGTAATTCACATCATAACCAAATTACTATGAGAGAGAGAGAGGTGCAATTCACATCACAACTAAATTACTGTAAAAGAGATCAACAAATGAAGAAAAACTTAGACAGAGAGAAGAGATGAAAGCTGGCAGCTAATTGTCACCAAATATGGGAAAAAACATTTGCAATACATGTTATAGTCTACCCATCTCATTTCATGGTAGCAGTGACGGACCAACTGAAGAAGGGCTGCCATGGGACTTATTGGGGAAGGGGCATCCACAGAAACAAAACAAGATGAGAATCAACTCTTAATGTGGGAAAAGAGAAAATAATAGTATATCTCATAGCATACATTAGTTTCCACCTTGTTGTGCATTAGACAACAGTAGGGTCAATATGCCAGGTTAATGTGAACTTTGGCAGGAATCCGTCTGTCATGTCATCCACACATGAAATGAGGCACAGGTTTTTAAGGACATACAAAATGGAATTCGAAAGGATCCTGTAAAACTCGTGGGTGGTTTTTAAGGACATACAAAATGGAATTCGAAAGGATCCTGTAAAACTCGTGGGTGGTTGGACAAAGTACTGTCCGATCGGTAGGGATCAAAAGTTGAAAACACCAAGTTACGATACGAGCTTTTGGAATAGCAGGTGTGATGTGTGGGTGTGACTCTTAAGAGAATCCATATCAGATGAGTTGAACCAACATACCATTGTTCAAAAAGGAGGTGCAAATCCACTTTAGAGAGGGGTCCAATTTTTTGTAAGTAAATAAATGTTCTTTATGAAGTCTTGCAAAACTCAGGTGAGGTGGCCACCGTTTTACTTTTTTCTTGGGGAAATACTTGACTGCATTAATCTTAACAAGGCGTCTACATCGTTTGGCAGCACAATTGGCAATCCACCTGGCGAGCGTTCTATAACATAGTGATAGCAAAATATGGGTTATTTTGCAGCCCCATAAACAAAATTCATTGACCACTAATCGTGCAAAGAAGAAACAACAGTTCAGTGCCTACGGTCCCATATTACAAAGCAATGAGAGGTCGGAGGAAGTGGGACATAGGGGTGGAGAGAAATGGAGTAGGAGAAGATAGAGAAAGAGAGGTTAATCATGTCTTATGGTTATTATCTTCTGAAGCAGTGACAACATTTCAATAATGTATGTTGTGCTCTAATCACAGTGTTCATGAAAGTTGCCACTTTTTTAAGCGGACACATGTCTTGTTTTATTTCTTCATCAAGAATCTTCTATTAACGAAAAGGATAATATACATCAAATGTACCAAAAAAAAAAAAAAAAAGGACAAAAAATAGCGCATTATTCTTCTTCTTCAAGGAAAAGAAGATAACACATTGTTTATCATAACATCGACTTGTAAATTCACAAGGAGATTATACAACAATATGGTTCAGTCAGCCTACAAT